CGCAAGGCCCCCCAGCATAGCGCACACGTAACGCCGGCACCGCACGCTATGTACCTCACACCGGGGCCACGCCGCGCTTCGGTCGACCAAGGTCGACCGACCGACTTCTCTGGCGCGAATGCAAAAACTCAGCCAGGTGCGCACAGTACCGCAACGGCAGGCCTGGCAGCGTGCACGTCGGCCCGCGCATGGTACGTTTGTGGCACGGCCACGCCTCGTGCTCTTTGCAAGGCGAGCGGCGTGCGGTAGGTCTGTAGGTACGTCGGTCTCGAGTTGGGCGGTGGCGAGCCAATTTGCCCGCCTAGATTGCTCATTATTGTCTTGCTTGCTCGAACAGATAGAGCAGGCCGGGTTAGAGGGAGCTGCGATCAAAACCAAACAACGCTCCGGCGACAATGGTGCGGAGTCGAGACCCGAGAGCTGAGCTAGGCCCGAGAAGGCGGGCGGTCGGCCGTTGCTGTTCGGTGACAAGCAAGGCCGCGTATGTTGTCACTTGCTCGCAAGCTTGCCTGCTTGCCTGCTTGCCTGCTTGTCTGTTTTTTTCCTTTCCCGCTTCACCCCTTGCCACCTTGCCTTGGCTTGCCTTGCCTCGTCCTGCCTTGCCTTGCCATCCTCTTGCTGCATTCTTGCGGCGGGCCGCTGTGGCACGGTCGGTAGGTACCGCACCGCCCGGGCTGTCAAGAGGGCGGGGCGGAGTGTGGAAGTGCGTGTCTCAGCTTGACAAAGCTGGTCGATGAAGGTTGCGGCGGGCGAGCCGGTGAGCGCGCGGTCAGGATCCTAGGCAGAGGCAGGCAGCGCTGGCTGGGCAGAAAGGGACGGTGCGGCCGGGACGAAACCATGTCGGAGTGCCAACCAGGTGACCGTGGCTGCCTTTGTTTTGACAAGCTAGCGACGCAACTGACAGACAGGCGACGGGATACCCGACGCCACAATTGCGCGCGCCCGCGCAGCCCGGCTACTACGCTGTAGCCTGCCGGGCCACAACTGCCGCCGCCAGGGAGCGGGTTTTCAATTCTAAGCATGGCCCACATCCCCGGCGCTCGACCAGCGCCTCGACGACCGCTTCTGCCATCGCACCGGCCGGCTTGTCCCCTTGCTGAAACAAAGCACGTCGGGACCGTGCCTAGCAGCACCGCACCACGGTACACGCCGCTGACTGCGGTGCACATCTTAGGACGGCCATTATTCAGAGGTCCCAGCGGCGTTCCATTGTCCTGTCCTCTTTGTGCTGATGTCGAGGGCGGCCGGATACAGAGTAGTGGGGCGTGCCCGTCCAATCACATCCTCGTGGATCCTCGGGAGCTGTCGTCGACGCCCTGGACCCGGCAGCACGCACGCGCGGAAGTCGTCATGACTGCCCGCCAGCCTCGCAGCGACCGATTTTGTGTCGATGCACGACCTGGTCCGTCGACGAAGCTCGTTACCGTAGCTACACTCTAGGCGCCTGTTGGGCTTTTCCGCCCACCAACCTTCTCCTGTCCTCGCACCTCCGCTTTCAGAAGACAGAGACCGAGCCGCCACGTCAGGAACCGCAAGTGCTCTTCTGCTGCCGGGCTGCAGCGGCAAGCAAGCCGAGGCCGAGGCGGGGCCTGCCTGGCAATCTACTGTATGTACTGCGCACACACCTGCATTCCGGTACCCTGCCCGCCTGCTCGTTTG